AGGGATTTCATTCTACTGAAATCCAGTGTCTAGTATAATGCCTGATTTATAGCAGGTGCTCAATAATTGAATAATTTAATGGAAGAGAAGATGCAATGTTCTGTTAGAGGCAAACATTTCAGCAAAACTTTATCTCGTAATTCTTGAGACTACTTTACTGTTGCAATCCTGGCCTCAGCCACCACTGACTCCAGTTAACAAACAGGAGTCCAGTAAACAAACAAAACTCAGTCCCTGAGTTCCTTCCACAGCAGGACTTAACCACAGCCTTAATAGGCCCCTAGTGTCAGACCTTTCCAATATATGTAATTAAAGTAATTACTCCTTGAATTTGCAGTTTTAAACCATCCTCAGACAGCAAAGAAGTCTTCACATGGGACTGAAATCTAATCACAGCAATTTCTTAAACATCCTTCTCAGGATTCCTATGTGATGTTCAAGCATCCTCAGACATTTGCTCTCTTACTCCCATCCTAATCCTCTGCTGCCCTCCCTCTTGGACTTCCTCATACATAGAGAAGAAGAGAAGGGGCAAGTTACTCTCAACTTATGAGTAAGAACACCTCTTTATTTCCTAAGACAGAAAACTCATCATGAAAGCACACACCAAGTTTTTAACAATTGTGGAGCTAGTAAAGAAGGGGTAGGAGGGCAGGAGTCAGTGGGAAAAAACACCTGCCTGTGATAAAGGGGGAGGAGCTCGTTCAGACCTGGGATAACCTCTGTGGTTTGCATTTCTACCACCCTCTCATAGTAACAGAATATAAACCAGTAGAGCACCTGACGTTTTATCTCATTTGCCCCTTACAGCAGAAGTAAAAAAAGCCAGGCATTATTATTGTGTTCTTATACAAAAAGAAAGTGGGACTCAATGCATAGGTTACTTGCCCAAAGACATACAAGGTAGTCAAAACAGGTATTCGCACACCTTCCTGGGGCTCTTCTAGTTACATAGGTTGCTTCTGACCTGTCTCCATGAGGGATCCACTATGTGTCTCCTAGATCCTTCCATGGCTCTTTGCTTTTCAAATTGCCCTAGAAGGCTGCCAAGGCTCTACAGGAACAGCTATGTACTTGGGTAAGATACTACTTCCTGCAGAAGTCTTAAAAACCTCCTCAGCCCTTGTGGGTTTTACCCCTCACTTCATTAAATTCTCAAACATTTATTGACATTTTCTGAGTGACGGATACTGTGCTGGGTTTTGCAGATCTATAGATGTAGTCCCTGCACCCCAAAATCTTACAGCGGAGTGATGAGGAGTCAGTGGGAAGCACTCAGGAGTAAAATTCAGTGAGGGATTCAAACCGGGCTTAGGCTTTACTAGGGTGTTCTGTAAATATTTGACTTTGAATTGAAGCATATGTCTTTCTCTAATACTTTATGTCTCCTTCTGGTAGCTCTTTTGTCCCATTGTACCCTGAATTGATGTGGTCCCATGGCAATATGAGTTACTAGTAAAAGTAGGGATTCTAACAAAATGCTGGCCTATTTCTCAAAGTGAACTTTAAGGGTCAAAAAGAGAAGGGAAATTTTTAATGTTCATGTTTAAACAAAAAAGTTGGTGTATGCTTTAATAATGTGTTTACTATTAATTGAAGTAACCTCTGAATTAACAATGTACATTCATATATCAACAGTGTACATTTACAGGTGGTAAATAACTGACTCAGTAAACGAAGTCTGAACAGAACTGAAAGCCCCTCAGTGATCAGAAAGAGGTGGTGAGGATGCAGATTTATCCATCTGACTATCTGGGAAGAGTACAATAACATGCATCCAGCAGACTAGTTTTCACAAAAGTAAATGCAAACATATTGATAATACTATTTTGTTGTTACCTTTTTCAGAAAATTGGCAGAATTAACCCTTTCTGCTGTAATAGAATTCACATCTGAAATGGGTATTCCCTTCTCTATCTGACCTTCATATTCCTAAACAGAGAATTAAGTTAGTTTCAATTCTTGAGTGTAACTGAGTTTAGATATGACATGCTGCACTAAAATACTAACTATTCTTTTCAGTTCATGTGTAGGAGACATTAGCAACACTCTGGCATTTACAGAAGACAGCATTTTCTTTCAGATTTACCTATTGATAATTAGCTAAGAATAGTTTATGACTGTATTTTGCTTTCTTCTAGGAAGAGGCCCTTTTATCTTTTAAGACAGAAGAATATTTCTTAATTATCTTCACATTTTCTCATTTCTTGCAAAAATACCAAGATGATGGAGAAATAATCTTCATGCATGCATTTACCTGGCAATCACTAAAAACAAAACAAATGAGAAGTAGTATAGTATAATGGTCAAGAGAGGGGGCTTTGGGAGCACACAGTCCTGGGTTCAAATTGGTCCTGCCATTTACTAACTGTGTGGTTTGGAAGAAAGTTGGTCAATTACTACAGACCTTAGTTTCCTCTTTTGTAATAATAATAATAATAATACCTCCTGTGTCACAGGATTGTGAAGCTTAACCGAACGGTATCTGTAAAGTGCATGGCACACAGTAAGTAGTCAATATGTGTTCACTATAATCAATAACTTTAATTTCATATCCAGCAGTTGGTGTAAGATTATTTGTCAGGATGCTTCATCTACATAATGTAGAATAAATTTGCATCTATTATATCTGCATTTGTGGGATACATTCCCTAATGCACATGGAAATTGTTTTATATTATAGATATCATTATAGGCTACATAAAAATAATGAACCAGATATTTCAGAACTCCCCATGATGCTACAATGAACATTCATTATCTGAAAGTAATTTATTTGGTCTCTAATTATCCACAAGAAATCTTGAAATTAATTCTGTTGGCAAGTAACAACTTTTAATTAACATTTATATTAATTAATATTTCACATCACTTTACTTTTTAAAGTATTAATTTATAGGAGTTTCTTAAATATTCTGGGTATTAGTTTTGTTTGTTATGTGTGTTGCAAATATATTTTTCTAATCTGTGGGGTTTTGAATTTAACGTTATCAAATTTATTAATCATTTTCTTTATAAACTTTTTGTTTTAAGAAATACTTTCTTACCTCAAGATTAAGATATACATCTAAAAATTTGCTTTTCACATGTAATCTCTATTAAACACAGTATTTACTTATTTTATGAGGTCTGAATCTGATTTTCTTTCTACATGGATGACCAATTATCCCAGAACCACCTAACAGATAGACCATTCTTTTCCAACTGATTTGTAATACCTCTGTCAAATACAAAGTTTCCACACAGGAATAGTAGGTCTGTTTTGAGGTCTGTAATAGTCTATAATAGTAGGTCTATTCTGTCTCAACAGTTTAGAATTGCATTCCTACATTTACAGATTAATTGGAGGATGACTGGCATCTTATAATGTTGAGTCTTCCTATTAGTGAACATGAATTCAAATTCTTTTTTACATCACTCAAAAATGTTTTATAATTTCCTCCATTAAGTTCTTGCGTACATTTTGTTAAGTATATTCCTATGTATCTTAGAGTTTTTACTGCTGTTTCAGGGGTATCTTTGTAAAGTTACATTTTTAGTGGTTTTTTACTAGTACATAGAATGCTAGGATTACTACATTTGGTTATTTCTGTAGGAATCAGACCTTAATTCTGCTATTTTAAGATTAGTGATGTGCTGGTAAATGCATAACAACCAGTTCTCTGGGATTGGAAGGGGAAGGCTCAATTTCTATCATCTGCTGATTTATGGTATAAATATTAGCCAAGGAACAAATTTAAAGCAACCAACATGCAACCACTGAAGGTGGAACTGGGAAAAGATGCACACAACAGGATCTCACCAGCTAGTGCTAGCAGGCTCCAGCATGCCACCACCACATAGTTTAAGACTAATTTTTCTTTCTTTGTTTTTTTTCCCACATTGTAAAGTTTCTGAAATTGAAATTTACTTTATAATCAGTATGTAAGTTTAACATCGCTAATGTTTTTCCCCTTACCCCCAAAAGCTGCTTTTAAATTGAGATCCATTTTACAATGACAAAAATACAATATTTACATAAATTTAGAATATATATAAAGAACTTCGGCTGTAAAACAGGTTGTCTGGACAACAGCTAAGTTGCAAAGTCAAGCTAAAGACTTTCTGGAATTTGGGAGATCTGTACATTTTTAATGCCTAAAGAAAGGGTGGAAAATCTGCCCACAGATTGTCAGTTTAAAACAAAGAAAGTACTTAAGATAGATTTAAAGCAAAATATTAACTTAGCATACAATAATCTACATGCAAATAGAAAACTAACTACCTGGAAGATGAAATCTGGAATCTCTCTATCATAGAGAGGCATTTGCTGAAGAAGGAAAACATCTAAGTGACCTGCATTTCTGAGTTGCAATAGCTGGAAACGTTTACTTTTTTTCATTTCTTCTTCAGAAACAAAGTTAAATTCATCTTGCAACTGTTCAAGACGAAAATACTTTGGAATATCCTGCCCTTTATGTTTCATGTGCTGTAAAACAAAAATAAAGTACTTAAAACATTAATTTTTTTAAATTCAAGAATTATTCCAAAATACCTTTTCCCCTCAACTGTGAGATGTGAGCATTGCCATATTATAGAAAATTGAGCAGTTAAATATGTACACAGAATCTGAAAGAAATAAAATCCAGCCTACAAGTGCTCCCAACTGTTTTGTGGTCATGACATATATAGAAAATGAAAATATCCAGGCCAGCCGGAGGGCAGTAACACCTACAGCAGCTACAGAGGCATAATGCAGAGGTTCTTCCCTGCAAGCTTGGCTCACTGGCCCTGACAGTGGAAGCAAGCACTGTAGCCAAGAAACAGGAAAGAGCTCTTTCCTCCCAGTAGGCACCAGTGCCACTCACCTGCAACCCCCATCACTGCTCCAGGTGCTGGACAGCTCCAGAAAGTGCAGCTTCTGGGCACTAGAGATCACTACATACAGAGTTATTATTCCATAGTAATCATTAGAAATATGAAACAGAAAAGAATCTGGTACAAAACCAAACCCCTAAAACACCAGAAAGATGGCTAAGTGAAACTTAAATCACCAATATTCCTGATAAAGATTTCAAAACAAAAATCGTAAATGTGCTCATGGAGCTACAGAAAAATATTCAAGATCTCAAAGAGGACTTCATGAAAGAGACAGAAACTTTGAAAAATACAGTAACTAAAATGAAAATGAAGGGATTTAACAGCATATTAGAGGACGTAGAGGAGACAGCAAATGAAATAAAATTAGAGAACAGGAATACAAAGCTGAGGCACAGAGAGAAAAAGGACCTGTAGGAATGAAAGATTAATAAGAGAACTATGTGACCAACCCAAATGGAGCAATATTCACATTATAGGGGTACCAGAGAAGAAGACAAAAAAAAGGTATAGAAAGTCTCTTTGAGGAAATATTGCTGAAAACTTCCTCAATCTGGGGAAGGAAATAGTCTCTCAGGCCATGGAAGTGCACAGATCCCCCAACATAAGGGACCTAAGGAAGATAACACCAAGACACATAATATTTAAAATGACAAAGATCAAGGACAAGGACAGAGTATTAAAAGCAGCCAGAGAGAGAAAAAAGATCACATACAAAGAAAAACCTATCAGGCTATCATCAGACTTTTCAACAGAAACCTTACCAGTCAGAAGGGAGTGGCATGATATAGTTAATGCAGTGAAACACAAGGGCCTTGAACCAAGAATATTCTACCCAGCAAGATTATCATTTAAATTTGAAGGGGGGATTAAACAATTTCCAGAGAGGCAAAAGATGAGAGAATTTACTTCCCACAAACCGTCTCTACAGTGTATTTTGGAGGGACTGCTAGAGATGGAAGTGTTCCTAAGGCTAAATAGCTGTTACCAGAGAAAATAAAACCACAGTAAAGAAAGGAGAACAATTAATTACTGAGCAGTTGCAAAATCAAATCAACTACCCCCAAAGTCAGTCAAGGGATAAACAAAGAGTACAGAATATGATACCTAATATATAAAGAATGGAGGAGAAAGAAAAGGAAGGGGAAAAAAAGAATGTTTAGACTGTGTTTGTAATAGCATACTGAGTAAATTAGGTTAGACTGATAGTTAAGAGTTACCCTTGAACCTTTGGTAACCATTAGTTGAAAGCCTGCAATGACAATAATTACATATCTATCAATAATCACCCTAAATGTAAGTGGTCTGAATGCACCAATCAAAAGACATAGAGTCACTGAATGGATAAAAAAGCAAGACCCACCTATATGATGCCTACAAGAGACTCACTTCAAACCCAAAGATAAAGACAGACTAAAAGTGAAGGGATGGAAAAAGATATTTCATGCAACTCATAGGGAGAAAAAAGCAGGAGTTGTAATACTTGTATCAGAAAAAATAGACTTCAAAACAAAGAAAGTCACAAGAGACAAAGAAGGACATTACATAATGATAAAGGGGTCATCCAACAAGAGGATATAACCATTATAAATATCTATGCACCCAACACAAGAGCACCTACATATATGAAACAAATGCTAACAAAATTAAAGGGGGAAATAAAATGCAATGCATTCATTTTAGGAGGCTTCAACACACCACTTACTCCAAAGGACAAATCAATCAGACATAAAATAAGTAAGGAGCCAGAGGCACTGAACAACACATTAGAACAAATGGACCTAACAGACATCTAAGAACAAAAGTCCTGGACCAGATGGCTTCACCCCTGAATTTTATCAAACATTTAGAGAAGACCTAATACCCATCCTCCTTAAAGTTTTCCAAAAAGTAGAAGGGGAGGGAATACTTTCAAACTCATTATATGCAGCCAGCATCACTCTAATAACAAAACCAGGTGACACCACAAAAAAAGAAAATTACAGACCAATATCCCTGATGAACATAGATGCAAAAATACCCAACAAAATATTAGCAAACATCAAAAAGATCATTCATCATGATCAAGTAGGATTTACTCCAGAGATGCAGAGATAGTACAATATTTGAAAATCCATTAACATCATATGCTACATCAACAAAAAGAAGTACAAAAATCACACAATAATCTCAATAGATCCTGAGAAAGCATTTGACAAAATTCAACATTCATTCATGATAAAAACTCTCAATAGAATGGGTATACAAGGCAATTACCTCAACATTACAAAGGTCATATACAACAAATGACAGCCAACATCATATGTAACAGTAAAAAGCTGAAAGCTTTTTCTCTAAGATCGGGAACAAGGCAAGGATGCCCACTCCCCCCACTTTAATTCAACATAGTTCTGGAGGTCTAGCCATGGCAATCAGACAACATAAAGAATAAAAGGCATCCAGATTGGTTAGGAAGAAGTTAAACTGTCACTGTTTGCAGATGACATGATATTGTACATAAAAAACCCTAAAGACTCCACTCCAAAACTACTAGAACTAATATCAGAATTCAGCAAAGTTGCAGGATACAAAATTAATACACAGAAATCTGTTGCATTCCTATATACTAATGATGAAATTGCAGAAAGAGAAATCAGGAAAACAGCTCCATTTACAATTGCATCAAAAGATTAAAATACCTAGGAATAAACCTAACCAAGGAGGTAAAAGAGCTATATCCTGAAAACTACAAGACACTCATGAAAGAAATTAAAAAGATACCAATAAATGGAAATATATACCATGCTCTTGGATAGGGAGAATTGATATTGTCAAATTGGCCATCCTGCCTAAAGCAATCTACAGATTCAATGCAGTCACTATCAAAATACCAACAGCATTCATTATGAATAGAACAAATAGTTCTAAAATTCATATGGAACCACAAAAGATCCTGAATAGCCAAAGCAATTCTGAGAAGGAAGAATAAAGTTGGAGCGGATTAAGCTCCCCAACTTCAAGCTCTACTACATAGCCACAGTAATCAAGACAATTTGGTACTGGCACAAGAACAACCCATACATCAATGGAATAGAATAGGGAGCCCTGATATAAGCCCAAGCATATGTGGTCAATTAATACATGATAAGGGAGCCATGGATATACAATGGGGAAATGACAGCCTCTTCAACAACTGGTGTTGGCAAAACTGGAAAGCTACATGTAAGAGAATGAAACTGTATTACTGTCTAAATCCATACACAAAAGTAAACTTGAAATAGATCAAAGACCTGAATGTAAGTCATGAAACCATAAAACTCTTAGAGGAAAACATGGGCAAAAATTTCTTGAATACAAGCATAAGCAACTTTTTCCTGAATGCATCTCCTCGGGCAAGGGAAACAAAATAAAAAGTGAAAACAGATGAGACTACATCAAACTAAAAAGTTTCTGTACAGAAAAGGACACCATCAGTAGAACAAAAAGGCATCCTACATTAAGGAAGAATATATTTGTAAATGACTTATCCAAGAAGGGATTAACATCCAAAATATGTAAGGAACTCACATGTCTCAACACCCGAAAAGCAAATAACTCAATTAAAAAATGGGCGGAGGTAATGAACAGACACTTCTTCAAAGAAGAAGTTCATATGGCCAAGAGGCACATGAAAAGATGCTCCACATTGCTAATTATCAAGGAAATTCAAATTAAAACCACAATGAGAAATTACCTCACACTGGTTAGGATGGCCAACATTGAAAAGACAAGGAACAACAAATGCTGGTGAGGATGCAGAGAAAGGGGAACCCTCCTCCTTCACTGTTGGTGGGAATGTAAACTAGCTCAACAATTGTGGAAAGCAATAAGCAGGTTCCCTAAAAAAGTAAAAATAGAAATACCATTTGACCCAGGAATTCCACTCCTAAGCATTTACCCAATGAAAACAAGATCCCAGATTCAAAAAGACATATGCACCCCTATGTTTATTGCAGCACTATCTACAATAGCCAAGATATGGAAGCAACCTAAGTGTCCATCAGTAGATGTATGGATAAAAAAGGAGTGGTACATATACACAGTGGAATATTATTCAGCCATAAGAAAAAAACAAATCCTACCATTTGCAACAACATGGATGGAGCCAGAGGGTATTATGTTCAGTGAAATATGCCAGGCAGAGAAAGACAAGTACCAAATGACTTCCCTCATTTGTGGAGTATAACCAGGAAGCAAAACTGAAGGAACAAAACAGCAGCAGACTCACAGACTCCAAGAAGGGACTAGCAGTTACTAAATGGAAGGAATAGGGGAGGGTGGGTGGGAAGGGAGGGAGTAGGGGATTAAGGGGTATTATGATTAGCACACGTAATATAGGGGGGGTCACAGGGAAGGCAGTATAGCAAGGAGAAGACAAGTAGTGACTCTATAGTATCTTACTACGCTGATGGACAGTAACTGCAATGGGGTGCAGGGGGGTGGACTCAATAATATGGGTGAATGTAATAACCACAGTGTCGCTCATATGAAACCTTCATAAGATTGTATATCAATGATACCCTAATTTTAAAAAATGAAATTATTTATAATGCACACTGAGTTAAAAGATGAGACTGTATCTGTTTGCCCTAAGAGTTGAGAGGGGAATCGGTATCTCTGTACACCTGTAACCAATTCAGCACATCAGTTGGGAAGCTTTGATCTAGGGGAATTTAGTTGTGATAACCTATTTATGCATTGCTTTATTGAGTAAATACAAATGTGAGTTCATGGTATATGCAAGAAAGAATGCTAGTTGCCGTAAAATAGTCAAAGATTTATTTGCTGTGGTTCCACAGGGAAAGATAAAACATATGAACAAATAGTACAGCAAAAGGCAGAATGATATTAGAGCCATTAAGAGTTTATATAAAGGAAAAAGTAAGTTAACAGGAAAGCAAGGAAGAAGAGCCCATATCCAACTGAGGTTACCGGGGAGCATTTATCAGACTTGCAGAGTGGCAAGATAGTCACTATGGATGCCCTAAGCAGAGGAATGACATAAATACAGGTATTAAGAGAGCATGTTTGGGGTACGCAGAGCAGTTCAGTTGGCCACAAGGGAGAAAAGGAAAAGTGAATAGATAATGGAGTCTTTGACAGAAGGAATATGTGTATAAATCATCTTTATATCACTAGCATCTAATAATATGGCTGGCACTCAATAGACATAAAATAGACGTTAGCCTGAAGGTTACCTGCTGGATATGCTGTGAGTTCCTAGTGGCAAACTATTAGCCCTAAAGTAGTAATTATTTCTGTTGCTTAATTTCTAATTACCTTTATAATACTGTAAACTGGTTGAAAACTGTTCTCAGATTTATCCTTACATGCCTCCTAGTGTCTAGAAAAATATACAGCAAAATGTGGAGAAGAGGAGGCAGAGATTAGGAAACAGAATATATCTACAGTGTAGATATGTGCTATAACTTACCATGACAAATTCCACTAAATCAGAATATTCTGGATTATTTGGATCAATTCTGGCTTCATTAGCCCATTCAAAAAGCTTCTGTTCATTAATGAGCCATGGAATTCCAGGAATGCCTCTTGCATCTACATTCCTGAACACACTAACATAGAGAAAAATATTTTGTGAATTTGCATACAACATGAGGTTTACATGTGTTATACAAACCTACCCATTCCAGGTATATAAAGATAAAACCTAACCATCCCCTGCGTTTAAGGATAAAACAGAAGGTTCAAATGTGATTATCACTCCTGGTTCATCTCACATTCTAACTTGTATCATAATGTTTGAAAATGTCCACCCCCTCCCTTAAGAGACAGTAAAGTCTGAAAAAACTCATCTTTGCCATCTCCACTCTGTAGTAGCTAAAACATAGTGGATGCTGAAGGGAACAGTGCTTGTTGGATGTATTTTTTTAAAGTCTGAGCATAAAATGCTTACTAAATATTGTCTTTCCAAACAATGCACACTATTGAAATTTAAACAATTTAAGCAAAATTAATAAACTCCGCAATAAAAAAAATCTTTAGGCTTAATCTTTACAGTTGAACCGTAATGTAGAGTAATACAATTAACTGGTAAGTACAAGCCAGAAGACTCTTTGTTTGGTCATGTGAGGCCATCTTAGGAAGCTGGAGAGCTAAGAAAGACAGGCTGTACTCCTAAAGCATCCTTAGTGATCTCAGCTGTAGGTTAAGTGTGGGAGGAATTCAGCCCTAAACCATCAGGGTTTCTTTAGAGCAACAATTATCCAGTTATTTAATCTCTCTCTTCATAGATAAAACTTGTCTCATCATGTGTAGAGGGATTTCAATTAGAAGATTTCTAAGATCCTTCCTAAAAGTATGCAAGGAAAGTTCTAGTCCATAAACCGAAATTCCAGAATTTCAGTCCATATTCCAGAAATACACTTCTGACTCAGATTTAATAATGTCTTAGCCCGAACATGGACACACATTTTAGATTACTTTCCATCAGAATCTATTCAAACTAAAATTACAAATAAGTGAACTATGAGTATTCTTCTTTTTTAAAATTCTTATTTTTACCCTCATATAAACTGTTTTGATGTCTTTGTCATAAGAGATCTCTGAAGCCTGACACCCTTGACACTATCATGTAACAAATTTTCCCTCTCAGGGAATAGGCCTAGCCCAGGTCCCTTAGAAAACAAAGCCTGAGGCAAAGCTTAAATGTTAATGAATAGATTAGGGAGAGAAACTTAGCTCATTATAGCCTAAAAAAAAGTTATAACTGGATTTCAATGTAGTCCCATATTTCTGCCTCAGGGAAAGTAATAAAAACCTAAGAATATCTCCTGTCCTTGCTGTACTGTTTCCCCTAGCTGCTCCTATAGGTGTTTAGCTATGGACTATGGCAAAAACCCTGTCATCTGCACCCTCTTCTCCACAATCAAATGTCAAGCAAGTAACACAATTTAGTGGCATTAAGTATACTCACAGTGTTGTACAACCATCACCACTACCATTTCCAGAATGTTTTCATCATTTCAAACAGAAACTCTAAAGCCATTAAGCAACAACTTTCCATTCCTATCTCCCACCACCCACTCTGCCCCAGCCCTTGGTTTTCTGTCTTTATGAATTAAGAAGACAATTTTAAAGTTACCAAGGGAAAAAAGACAGACTGTCTACAAAAAAAACACACCAAAATTTAGACATATAATAGCAATGATAAATCCCAGAAGATAGTGCACTTATAACTTCAAAACATTGAGAAAATAAGTATCAGCCTCAAATTTTATACACACCCAAACTATTATTATTTAAGAAGCACAAAATTAAGATATTTTCAGATACACAAAGACTAAACAAATTTGCTAGCCACAAAAACTGACTGAAAGAATTATTTAAGAAATTTTCAGCAAAACTATCCAGAATGCAAGCATGGAAGATGAGAAATAAGTACAAACATAAAAATCAATTGACTGCCAGAGAATTTAATTAACTAGTAGGTATAAGAAAAACTGTTTATGCTTTAAAAATATATTAAATGAAAACTGTAGAAAACAATAATTGAGATTGGAGCAGTGTGCCTAATGTGGTATTAAAGCATTCTAAGATCTTTTGCTTCACTTCTTTATCTCCAGCTGTCAGTTTTTGATGAATGAATGAATGAATGAATGAATGAATGAATGAATGAATGAACAAGTAAATCAGTTAATAAATGATTACTTCCTTTTGAATCTCCTTTGGCTCCATGCTATGACTCTCACAAGCCTGTCCTGCCTTTGGAGCACCCACCCCAGGTTCCTGGAAGCACTGCTCAACACCAATCCTTTAGGTCCCACAACTTTAGACAAACTTCTGTGACTTTCCTCTCTCATCTCAGAGGCCCCAGTTGTAAAGTTTTACTTCAAGTTTGTTTCTTTAGAAGGGGACTCTTGATTTTGAAAACCTCTCTTGCAGTTCATTTCCTGTTGAAATCTGTCATTTGTCCAATCTTTCACAGAACTGCTTTCAATCTTATGTAAACTTGAGTTCCCATGTAACTGGACTGCTAAGTGTAGCATCACAGAGGTGAAAGAAGAGACTTCAAGAAGCAAGATGATGAAGACAGGTGAAAAAATGTGGCCAGAAGTTAACTGGTAGCCCTCAGGAAAAAGTGGGTATGGGGTTTAGGAGGGAATGTGTGAATGCAAAGTGGAGGCAATGTATGCAGACAAGTGGACCTCACATATGAGGAATTGGGCAGGAAAACAGCCAAAAAGGTTTTTAATTGTTTGAATTTTTCTTTGTCTTAAAATAAAGAAGGCTTCTTGGATACAAAGACTAACAGTACAGGGAGATGGAAAAGTTGAAGGTAATGTAAGAAAAGGATGTAACTATGTCAGCAGCATCCTAAGGAAACAAAGGTAAGTTCCAAATTACCTCTATAAAAGTTAACATTCGAGAGAGGAGAACAAATGTCCGACTTCAAGAAAAAAGGATAGTGTGATGAGACAAAGACTGGAAACAGCTGCAGTGGGGACTATGCTACAGAAACACAGAAAAATACAAGAAAATAATGGTTCAGGGTATTAAAAGCTTATTCACTAGCTCCAAAATGAATTACCTTTGTTAATTGTCCATTTTTTCCTAAAATGGGCTTCCCTGGGTCTCTAGGAAAATCACTTCATTTAGCAAAGCAAGGACACCCATAAAAATTATACTTCTGTCTTCATAGTGATTTTTGTCTCATTCTCTGATTTGAAGAAGAGATATTTCCTCTTCTCTAGCACCACAGCTACTCACTTGTGTAATACCTTCCTGACTGAAGAATCTCACACTCTTTCAAATATATTCTGGCTCTTTTTCCATGGATCTAATCATTTCTTTCAAGAAAGTAGGGACTGCCCCCACTTCTAAGAAACCCCTGTCTTGATTCTGTTGCCTCTTTATTTTTAGCGTCCTTTTACTCTCAAACTTCTCAATAAGTAATCTGCATCCACTACCTCAGTTTCCTCAACATCAACTAAGCGCTACTGACATTTAGTTTAGTTTTTGTTCTCTAAAACTCTTTTTTACCAAGAAAAAGCATTTATGAACTCTTACTGTGGCTCTGGCCATATGCCAGTGGTTTTATATATAGTACTCTGTTATTTTTTTAAAGTTTCTAATTTTAGTTTTGATTTCCTGTTTAATCCACATTTACAGCAATGTTTTTTAATTTTTATTTTAAAATAGACTTTTACTTTTTTTTAGAGAGAAGTTTTAGGTTCACTGCAAAATGGATCAGCAAGTGCAGAGTTTCCATGTCCCCTACCCACCCCACATTCACAGCCTCCCCCACTAGCACCATCCTGCACCTGAGTTGTAATTTATTACATTCCTTGCAGTAAAAGAGTTGCATTTGTTACATTCCACGAACCTGTGTTGAAACATCATTATCACTCATAGTTCATAGTTTATGTTAGGGTTTATTGTTGGTGGTGTTCATTCTATGGGTTTTGACAAATATGTAATGATGTGTATTCACAATCATAGTGTCATGCAGAGTTTTACTGCCCTAAAAATCCTGTGTGCTCTATTTATTCATCCCTCTCTCCTCCTAACCTCTGAAAACCACTTATATTTTTACTGTCTCCATAGTTCTGCCTTGTCCAGAACATCATATTGGACATGGCAACATTTAAAAAATTATTTGTTTATATGGAGAGGAGAAAGGCCATCTTTTTGTTATCATCATTTATTAATTTTTAAATGATGGAATCTACTTGGCCCCTTTACATTTACTATTTTATTCAAATACAACATGAAATAAAGCCAGGGATAACATCATTTTTGTAGAATTTTACTCTACTTATTTCTAGTAATCTGCTTTGTGGGTGTGATCTAGAAATTTACCCCAATTTCTCTAGGAAGTCCTGGAACATAGAATAAAATTTTTGGTATTTTCCTTCTAAGCAAATTGATTATGTACACATGATTCCTTCACAATCCAGGCTGATTGGGAGATATAAGGGCACCAGAAATAAAATCCATGGGAATCTTGGTCTTTGCTTACAAGTTAAGAGCTATGGAGCTGCCTCTCTCATTAGCAGCAATCATCCTTAGAAGTGAAGAGATATATTCTCTTGCATATAAAGACACCTATTACTTTACTACAGTGATTATAAATTAAATGTTTTATGTATTATAAGTATAAATTAAAAAATAAATCAATATCCAAATGCAGCTCCTACTGCTGCTAGAGTTTTCCCTTTTATAGACACAGGTTTTGTGTGATGCTTTGCTGAGCAATGGCATTATTTTTCAAGCACTTAAGTTTATTACCTGCTACAAGCAGATCTTAGTGGCTGTGACATAGGTGTCAGAGGAGTACCGTTTTCATCTAAAGCCCATGATAGAGCATAGCTTAGTTTTCCTGATGTCAAAAGACAAACTTCCTCAGCTCCATTTCCCTCAAGAAGAAAAGGCACATCTGTTTAGAAAAGACATTAAAAACAAAAATTTTTTTAAAGCATGCAGTTAGAGCACATTGTAGATTTTTTTCCCTTTTACTTGTCTAATCCCAGGAACACAAAGAAAGTTCTGGGCTGACCCCAGGCTCTAATCTTAGAGTGCTCTCTCATCTCCTATCTAAGATACCTCAAGACAGGCTGCTTCAAACTGACCAGAAGAGAGAGAGGGAAATATGGATCTGAATACATAGGGATCAACATCTCTATTTTCCTCTTCTTATGTCTAGAAGTTTAAAAACCATTTTTTCTGGAAGTGGCTTCCAGCAAGAAAGAACCACCGGCAGCAGAAAAAGAGGCAGACAAGCTGCCTCAACTAGACTCTAAGCAGACTATTCCCCCTTCATTCCTATCCTTCCTGGGCTCCTTTGCCTACTTACTTTTTCTTCTCTCCCCCTTGCTTACTTGTTCATATTTCCTTCCTTTACACCAGAGGGACACAAGCACTTAAAAACTCCAAGCAAGGTGAAAGAGAAGGAAGCCTGGGAGAAGGAGAGGAGTGGCAGAGTTCTCACAGACATGCTAATGTAAATTTAATCACATAAGGAGTAAAATCAATTGAAAAACAAGTCAGCAGAAGCAGCCCTTCTTCTATCCTCTTGCCCTTTCTCTTTCTCCTCTCCTTCTTTCCCTTCCTCCCTTCCCCATTTAACTCAAAGATGCACCAACATGTGCTGGATCTTTAGGCTTTGCAAAAGGAGAGTCAGAGGCACAGCAGTCTATGCACTCAGGAGTGAGCGCACATTCCGGAGTGTGCAGTGCTCTAGTCTCAGGTGACTTAGGAAAAGCACAGGCATCAATTCTGAATTTTAGATTTCCCTAAGACCTGATTAAAGACAGTGTTTTAAAAAAAACCTAACATCTGAAAGAATTTAATATATTTTTAACCTAATACTGTAAATACAGGATTATTTACTCAATAAATGACCTAGGGTCATTTAGGATATGGAAATCATGAAGCAAATGGGGGGAAGAAACATTTTTAATAAACTTACTGCTTCCTACTCCTCCATAGGCTGGTGTGGCCACCTCATTAGAGCTAAACTCTACATATTCCAAAACAGTTTTGCTTTTCAACTCTGTGTTAGGTAAAGGTATATATAGTTTTGCCAGTAAGCTTGTCCTTTTACTTATTTCATAAACCTAAATATAAAAGAAACAGTTGATAGCTGACTAAAAGTTCTAAACTACTAAAGTATTTTAGTACTAAAGAACTAAAATGAAAAACAAAAGTGAAAGAAGGACCCTCAATAACATATTTTTATTTTTTTTGAAATATTAGAATATAAAATAGGTATTGCTCTATAGCATTTCATCCATGTGATTATGAGAAAAGTAGATAATCATATGGCCTTAAAAGTATAATGCCTTTACTGATTTAAAAGGAAATGAATTGAATAAAACAATTACATATACAGTTCTGAGAATATAAGTACATAAAACCCAATCCCCAAATAATTTAATTTTGTGGAGCATTTTTAAAGTTCTTTATCTCATTTAAACCTGATTTAAAAAATGACAGGAAATAGGTATTACTCTTCCAATTTTATAAAGGAAGAAATGGAGTCTCTATATGAAACTATATTAGTTTTTATTATAAGTGATAGAAACCCAGGTTGAACTGCTCATGAAAAAGGAAGATTCACTGGTTCCTGGAATCCAAGGACAGGTTAAAAAAGCTACGGGGTTGGTGAGGAAGGAAAGGTCCCAGAAGAAGGAATAAGGGAAGTGCTGAGGTAGACAGTTCCACTGATGTTCACTGGGTATGAACCCCAGGTCTTCTGATTCTGTATGCTGTCCTTCCTACTACAAGTCATCACTGCCATAAGTACAAACCTAAAATGTTTTCAATAGAATAATCTTATTTTGATTGTATTGAATAATCATATTGAATAATCTTATTTTGACAACTGTGTTGTCAGTGTTTGGGGAGACAGTTATAATATGTTCTGAGAAGAAGGAATCCAGGTTGGGGGTGGAATGCCCTTTGAAAGATAAGAATCTGCCAATCAAAAGGATGGTTGATTAACCAAGAAAGCAGAGAAGGGGAAAGTCAAAGAGGCAAACTTTTTTCTGCTCGTATAAATACTGTTCCTGTAGGGGTGAATTTAAGGCAACACACTGGTCTCTTGACAAAGGCATCCCTAATGTAGAAAGGCTTGTAGGGGATTATAGCTAATGGACTTAACAGTATTCAAGTCTGTGCAAGAAATTTCTTATTGTAAATTAGTAAATTGGCTAACTAAAAAAAAAAAAAACAATGAACTGATAGATTCAAATGTTGAATTGGCATTCTGATTTTACACATCAGCTTTGTGAATTTGCTTAGGTTACATAGCTACATTTTCAGGGGACTCTCAAATCCAATTTCTGAGACTGCAGTGCTAGAGACTAGATCCCGGACAGTAGTAAATGTAAAGGTAGAGAATTCTACTTAGTGTAAGTCTTCCAGGAGACAGCCTTATCCCCTCATGGGAACTACTAACATTACTGTGCAGCTGAGATGGAGTGCCAAGAATGAAAATGGGCATTTAAGTGGAGGAGCCACAGTGCTCAAAAGCTCAGAAGTAGGAGACTGCAAAGATGTATGGGAAAAAAACAAGTTCTGTCCGTTGAAATGAAGAATGAGTAAAAGGAATGGTAAGAAGTAAATTAGAAATATAGGGCAGAATCTGTTTGGCTGGGGCATATAGATTTATTTTACAATTTTTGCAGCTGTTAATAGTGCAGTTATCCCTACCTAGATTCTTCTCTTTCCGTGCCTCTTAGTTTGTTAAGATCATATGCTAAGTGTAGGATGATGAAGAATTCAAAATACATATTTGTCTATTTTGAGGGTGGCAGATTTTAAACTTCAAGTGGTTGGATTATTATATCGCAATTTATTTTAGGTACAATAGTAGGAAAGTTTAATCAGTATATTTTTAAACAGGAATTTCAACAGAGGTATATTTTTAAATGATAGGAACTTGATAGTACAGATGATCAAAATGAATACAGCCTCTGATCAGGGATAGAATAGAATTGTTTTAAGTATTATAAAAATAACTTTGATTTAGATTTATAATTATAATCCTCTCTCCACTCCTCAAACTCCACCCCATGCTTACATGGACAAATCTTTATTCCCTCCTAACTTTCCTTTCATGTCTAGTTGAAATTTAACCCTATATTAGCCATCAAGACTTCTTGTCTGACTCCTTTACTGTGTCTAATTTTTCTCCATTGTCCCATTTTCTTCTTCCTTTAATACATGATGGTGTCTCTGGACAAATATCAGGGGTCTGTTCTGTATATGTTCTTCCATCAGATTCTTAACAAGATCCAAGGAAAAAAAAAAGATATATACTACATATACAGCAAGAGACTGAAATCACCGAGTTAGGGCTTGGGCAATCTGGAGAAACTGCTCAGCACAACAGCTATATTCCTCATAGTTTAAACAACCTTCTTCCACCTCTCTAGCAAATGAATAGTAATATTGCACATCCAGGGTTGGCAGGAATTTTAGCAGAAGAGGATAAAGTATTTATAACAACCACAAATCAAATAATTTTGTATGTATGTAAAAGACTAGTGCTGAATTATAAATATATTATTTATAAATAAATACATATCAGTCATCTCTAAATTGAAAAGAAATTATTTATCACACACAAAGCATCTAACAAGAACTTTAAAATCATGTATGACATAAAATAAGATACAGAAGTAAATGACAATGGCATACCTCCAAGCAAATTGTTTCCGGCCAATATATTAACTGAATATTGAAAATTTGCTGAAACATGACTTTAAAATCAAACTGTAGGGGAGATACTGAAGTGCAAGAAACCTGTTTATCATTGTATAATATTTTAATAAAATATCTAAGCTTCTGAATTTTGGCTCTCCTCCTTTGTTCATGCCTAAAAATTAAATACACCATTAAAGAATCCTTGAAAAGCAAAATGAATACAAAATGTACCTTAGCCATATTAAAATATGATCACTTTAGAGGACAAATGCTATCTTCAAGTCCAATAATATGAGCCTATATGTGGCTAAAAGCCTCTCTTACCCAGTCAAATGTTTTTTAAAAAGATATTTACTCAAAAGAGGAAAAAGAACTAAAATCAAGGTACTATAAATCATTCAGCTATGGGGGCATGTGAATCAAGAATTTGGAAACATTATAGTCAGTTAATACACAGCAAAGGAGGCAGGAATATAAAATGGGGAGAAACAGTCTCTTCAATAAATGATGCTGGGAAAACTGGACAGCTACATGCGAAGAATGAAACTGGATCACTGTTTTAAACCACACATAATACTAAACTCCAAATGGCTTAGCAACTTAAATATAAGACCTGAAACCATAAAACTAGAAGAAAACATAGGCAGTAAAATCTTGAACATTAGCCTTGGCAATTTTTTTCTGGATCTATCTCCTAGGCAGAGAAATAAAAGCAAAAACCAAACAGGTGAGACTACATCAAGCTAAAAACTTTCTGCACAGCAAAGAAACCATAAAAAAAAAACAAAAAGGCAACCTACTGAATGAAAGATGTTTGCAAATTATATATTCAATAAGGGCTTAAGATTCAAAATATATAAGGAACTCATACAGCTTAACACCAAAGAGACCCAAATAATCTCATTAAAAAAATGGGTATAGGACCTGAACATTTTTCCAAAGAAGACATAGAGATGACCAACAGACATGAAAATATGCTCAATATCACTAATCACCACAGAATTACAAATCAAAACCACAATGAGATATTATCTTATTACACCTATTAGAATGGCCATTATCAAAAAGACAAGAAATAACAAGCATTGACAAGGATGGAGAAAAGGGAACCTTCATAATTCTGTGAGTGCAGCCACTTCAGAAAAGATTATGGAGTTTCCTCAAAAAATTAAAAATTGAAATACTGTATGATCCAATAATTCCATTTCTGGGTATTTAACCAAAAGAAAAACACAAATTTGAAAAAAGATATATTCCCTCCTATGTTTATTGCAGTGTTACTTACAATAGCCAAGATATGGAAGCAATCTAAGTGTCTACTGATAGATGAATGGGTAAAGATGTGCTGTGGGGTGTGTGTGTGTGTGTATATACATATATATATGTGCAATGGAATATTACTCAACCATAAAAATGAATGAAATCTTGCCATTGCAACAACATGGGTGGACCTAGAGGATATTATGCTAAGTGAATAGGTTAGACAAAGACAAATACCATATGATTTCACTTATATGTGGAGTCAAGAAAAATAAAACAAAACAGAAAACAGATTCATAGACACAGAGAACAAACTGATGGTTGCATGGGAAAGGGACATGAGGGCATGGGTGAAATAAAGGGGATAAGGAGGTATAAACTTCCTATAATAAAATAAATAATTCACAGGGATGAAAAGTACAGCCAGGGAATATAGTCAATAATATTTTAATAACTTTGTATAGTGACTGATGGTAACTATACTTATCATAGTGAGCATTTAGTAATGCATAAAATTGTTCAATCACTATGTTGCACACCTGAAACTAACCTAATATTGTATATCAACTACACTTCAATTAAATAATTAAATAAATAAATAAATAAAATGGGAAAAATAAGAAAAAAGAATTCAAAAATATTTTCTAACTTTTAACAAAGAAAAAAACACCTTTAAAAGAAATATGCCATGTTTTCAATAACCTCAAGGAGGTGGCTCTAAATCAATAGATTTGCTGTATCCTTTGTAAATCCCTTTAGGCTTTAAGTTGTATACCCTTTTTCTCCAGAACACTCTTTCTCTGAACCCAAAGATCACAGAGAAAAGCCAGAGAGGCTACATCCCTGGGGCTTCTATGAAAACACTTGTTGGGGAATAAATTGATCCGACAAGTGCTATGAAAATCCTAAAGAGTCTTCCGTTCATTTATTCGTTCACTTAACCAACATTTACCAAGTATCTACTTAGCTGCAAGCCAACTGACCTAACAATGTTTAAGACTTGGTCCTCTTTTCAGATGAGAGAAGACTGGCTGGAAGATAAGCCCTATGTTGAAACATAAAATTACCTTCTGTTTCTTGACCCTAATCATTCTGAGTCCAGTATGTCCCTGTCCATCTTCTCTGTAACCTCTGTAAAAAGGTTAGGGGACAAACTAAGTTTTAGTGTTGCTTATTCTTCCTATTTCCCTATGGGCCTCTTTTGACCATCTTCTTAATGATCTTTAGAGAAATATTTTAGTAAAATTTGCCCTTTATGTTGCCCTCTGAAAGTAGTTTTAATGGGTTCATGAATTCTTTTCATCTGTATCCTTGACATCAGTATGTAGTTCTCTTCTAGAGAATCAATTCTTATTCAATTGGACATTTTAAATGGATAATGACAGCAATGCTCTTAGCAATGTGGCAACACACAACAGCAACAGGTTTGGAAATATGTAACACACCCTATTTCCTTTTGCCCTGACTTTCACTAAGTTTAGTTGAGGCTTTCCAGCACAAACATCTTCCTTCTCTTTCTCCTCTGTACTTCCAACGTCCATTTTATGGCTCCCATTCTCTTACTCTCATTCAGATGTCCTTTTGCATGTGTGTCTTACATAATAATCTTGGGCTCTTTTTGGAAGTAGGTATAGAATACAGCATTGCTTCATTGCTGCATTTCTCTAGTCAGTAAGACTAGAGATAGTGATAATTGTGACTTTGTGTTTGCTAGTCTTCCTGTTCATTTTTAAATGTAAACATCTACTCATTCATTTAATGAATATGAATATTTACTGGGCACCAATATTCTTCCAAATCTGTGCTAAATGATGCACATTCACAGTACTCAAGTTAGAATTGGAGAAGGGTTCCGTGGGACAGAGATGTTGAAAAGTTTACCATAATTCACAGCTCTAAGTTGCCATATTCTCTTTAAAGGAGATAAGATCCACAGGCCTAGAAATGGGAGAAATGGGGATATGTATGATATCTACATTTGCATGAATGTTCTAGGAGGAGGAGGAAAACATAGCTCAAGGAATAAGTCATAACTGGGAAGGAAAAAAGTTTGTGTCAAAGTAGAAAATTGCCCAAAGGGCCCTATCAATTCAGAACACTTTTTATGAAAGCAAGAGGGTCCCTTAACAAGTAAAGGTGACTATACAATCTTATTTTTATAGTGGTTTTATATCCCACCTACTTATGCCTGAACAAAAATTATTACCATAGCAAACCAAAGAAACAACCATCAAACCAAACTGATATATCTAAGATGAGCAGAATACCATAGAGTTGTGGTGTCAATTAAGTGTGCAAATGAATAAAAAAACTTTGTAAAGTGCCTGGCATATTGCACTCACTCAAGAAATCCAACATTATTATTAAAACAATATAATTAATAGACAACATATAATGGAGAAATAATTCTTTACAAATGCTTACAGTGAGCATTTGGATAAGTCTGTTAATTTTGCTGTGAAAGAAAGTTGTGGTATCCAAGTAATTGGCTTTATTCTTTCAGTATCTGTTTCTTCCGGTTCTGAAGTCAAATATAAGAGGCTCTAGAAACAAAAAGATAAATACAGTATATAATTTACAATGTAAGTTTACTGCTTGGGATAATTATACTTAAATTTTAAACTTTTCTTATATTTTTCATCTGTTGGGTAACTGTTAAAAACACAAAGATTTCCTATTCTACCATTCAATTATTATAACTAGTTAAGATGAGTTGAATGTTATTTTGCAAAATAAATACCTCCTGTTTTTCCCCATTCTTAAATGCTTCTTCAGTTTTCTTCTCAGGCATTTTTGACAGTTTTTCTTGTTTTTGTTCATCATATTTATTCATTTTTATCCTAATTAATAATAAATAGAATTATTAAAAGCAGAAATAATGGAAGTATTTGAGAGTTGTTAGAGGTCTTGGTCCTGCCACGCCCAGTCTCCTACAACATATATTTTATATCCCAAGGAAATTATCAATATGATAAACATATATATATAACTTCATATATATATATGTATATAAAACTTCATATATATGTTACAAAACTTCATAAGCTTGTTCTTAGTTTTCACAGATTTCTCCCTACTGAGTAAATTTACTATCAGTGTTTACAGCCCTTTCAAAGGACATCAAGGAACCTTTTCTCTGGTGAGGGTTAAGTGTAGGAAAAAATGGAAGTTTGTATAGCCAGGGTCCTTACCTGACCCTAACTACTTGATGAGTAATTGGCCTACTGCTAGGCTAATACTTATACATGCATTGGCAATGAGCCATTATTGTCAGTGTTACTATATAAAGAGCTCTGCCCAGAGGCATAGGTGGATAAGGACTGCAAATTTGCCAGAGGCAGACATGATTCCAGCACTCAACCACTGTGAGAATAAAGCTTGGTATAAACCCTTTCACCCACAACATTTCATTGTTATCATTCAATCTCACCAAATCCAGAGTAAACTTACCCAGGGGCAATCCCCCTCAAGTGATACATTTGGCATAGTCAGCAAGATTTGCTGCAGACTTAAAATTGGAATAAGTTGCCTTCATAGGAGGGGTACTTCAGTGGGCTGCCCCTATGGATGAGGAGACACCCAGGTATCCCCCATTGGTATATGGTCTGAGGTGGCTTGCCTCCTAGAGGAGTGGGCCCCTCCCCAGAACTGGGGGAAGATGAAGGTGATGTCTGAGGCAGTAGAGGAGGTCCTCTGCAAAATAAGGAAGTTCTTGGAGAAACAGAGTGCCTGCATGGTGGCTGGAACTGTGGGTTGGCTTTTCCTCACAGTGTTAAGAAGGCCCATAAAGGAGAAGACTACACTCCTGAAAGAAGCAAAAGAAGAGGTAAAATTCATGAAGGAGGAGAAAAATTGATTGAGATGGCATTGCTGTGAGGTGCTATGGAGACAGTAAAGGATGTAATGATAGCACAAGAAGAGACAGCACAAGAATTCAGGCTGCAAGTGCCATGGGGGAAGCAAAATATTTGTTGAAGAATGAAATGGGGTTGCTGCAAGGCACTGTGGAAGAGGTAAAGGCCATCAAGAAGGACATACCCCTGCGAGAAGCATAAGGAGAAGCAACACAAGGATATGAGCTACAAGGTGCTGTGCAGGAGGTAAAAGATTATTTGCAGAATTAGATGGTACCACTGCAAGGCACTGTGGAAGAGGCAAAGACCATGAAGGAAAAGGATGTACTTCTGCAGAAAGTACAAGAAGCAGCAGCATGAGAATGCCAACTGCAAGGTATTGAGGAGAGGGTAAAAGAGTTGTTGAAGACCGAGACAGCGTCACTGTGAGGCACTGTGGAAAAGGTAAAGGATGTGGCAGAGGAGGTGCTCTGCAGAATGTGAAAGCTGCAATCAGCCCCAGAAATGGAGGAGGAGCTGGAGAAGAACAAAGAGGTAGAGGTGATGCCAGAGGCACCAACCCTTCCTCTATTGAAATCCTTCCTGGTTGTAGTCAAGAAAATAAAGAAGTAGCAACTGCGGGTTCCTGCAGGAGAGGTACAGTTCTCTCCCCCCATCATAGAGCACTCCATTCTCCACCCTTATACACAGGAAGAGCTGGTGGATTTGCGCTCCTAGTTTTGGCAGAAACCCTTGGAATCCATATTAGCCTGGCTCCTGAAACTTTGGAATGTAGGGATGGATGGGATCATACTGTCTGGATCAGAGATGGGAAAGCTGGCTTCCCTGACAACTCATCATGCCTTGCAGCAACTGCAGAACACACACCAGACCCCAGGGAATCATTCACTCCTTAGTGGGTAGTAACTGCACTTCACATTGTATGATCCAATCAGGGTGACTTACCATCCTCCCCCACTAGATGGCAACATATGCTGAGCTCTAACAGATGTTACAGGAGTTGGGCATGAAAAATGCCCAATTATAACCCAGTAAATTATGGCCTGGATGAGGAACTGTTTATGGCAGGGATGAGGGATATGGGGCTGCAAACAGCTCCCTCATCCCTCCTTGGGCCCTTAGTGGCCATTCTTGCCCCTTACATAAGGTAGCCCATAAATGCAGTTACCATACTGTGGCAGATTTAGGGGAGGCTGAGGCAATGCAGGCACAGAAGGGAATGCAGTCTGCTACTGAAAGGAAGGGCTTAAAGGGCCCTGTGAAAGTCGTGAGGACCCAGATGTGGGTTTGTTTAATAGGAGTAGGAGCAGACAGAGAGAAATTGGATGGGAAGTCAAATAGAATCTTACTGGAGCTGTGGCAACAAGTGAAGCTGGTGCAGTGGTTTTGGCTGCTGAAGACCAAGAAACACAGGCTGGAGACAGAGATGCAAGTCTGGCCTGTGTGTCTGCAAGACTTCCTGCTGAAGAGTGAGCCAACCTCACCTAAACCTGCAGAGGAAGATGTTTGGGTGATACAGTCTTACTGAGGGGAGGGGCAAGGCATGAGCCTTAGAGAAGTGGATGAGGACCAGAGACCACATATTGAAATATCAATTCATTGGTCCTCAGTGAATGCACAATGTGTCCTGGCTCTGGTAGACACAGGAGCTGAAGGCTCACCGATTTATGGCAACTCTGAGCAGTTTCCTGGGACCCCTGCTGTTATGGATGGATATGGTGTAAGGTTATCAGAGTAAAGCAAGGCCAAACCCCACTGGGAACAGGGCATCTACTCCCAAAGGAGTATACCCGCAAAGATGTATATCTCTCCCATTCCCGAATATATTTTGAGAATAGATATGCTCCAGGGCCTATGGCTGTAGACCATTGCAGGGGAGTTCAGACTGAGGACATGTGTGGTGAAGGCAGCTCTGAAGGAACATGCTGAGCATCCACCCATAGCTTTGCCTGTGCCTCAGTGGATGACTAATCCCATGCAATACAAATTGCCTGGAGGGCATAAGGAAATTGGAGAAACCCTCTGGGAATTGGAGAAGGTGGGTACTATGAAGCCCACGCATAGCCCTTTTTATTCCCTGGTATGGCCAGTAAAAAAGTCAAATGATATATCCCTAGATATATGATCTAGGGATATATATTTATCATCTAGGGATAGAACCACCTATCCAATCATGGGATTAGACTGGACCCAGAAGCTCCTGGTGTACAACCACAGATTACAGAGAACTGAATAAAGTCATGCCCCCTCTGCATGCTGCCATCCCCTCTATTGTAGGCCTTATAGACACCCTTAGTCATGAACTAGGGGTATATCATTATGATGTAGATCTTGCTAATGCCTTCTTTTCCATTGACATAGCACAGGAAAGTCAGTAACAGTTTGCCTTCATGTGGGAAGGATGGCAATGGACTTTCACTCATTGTCTCTCCACAGGGGTACCTCCACAGCCCCACCATCTGTCATGGACTTGTAGCCCAGGACTTGGCTACATGGGAGAAACCACCAATGGTACAGCTGTACCATTATATTGATGATGTCATGCTTACTTCTGACTCTTTCAGACCTAGAAGGTGCAGCATCTAGACTGCTGCAACATCTATGGGAGAAAGGATGGGCTATGAATAACACCAAGGTTTGGGGACCTGGTTTGTCAATCAAATTCTTGGGGGTTGTCTGGTCAGGTAAGCCTCAAGTTATACCAGAAGCAGTGACAGATAAAAGTTCAGGCCTTCCCTACCCATACAATGTGTCATTATTACAGGAGTTTTTGGGGTCTTTTAGGCTACTGGAGAGTGTTTATCCTGCACTTGGTACAAATTCTGAAGCTCTTACACTGTTTGGTATGAAAGGGTGTCAGGTGGGACTGGAATGAGACATGTACATCTGCTTTTACTGCTGAAGAATGAACAGTCAAGGCCATGCTGGTGTTGAGTGTGATAGACCCATTCAGGCCCAGTGAGCTGGGTGTTCATGTGATAGAAGATGGTTATGGCCGGGGTCTCTAGCAGCGGCTTGAACAAACTCACCAACCTATTGGATTCTGGTCACAACTCTGGAAAGGAGCTGAGGTATGGTACACCTAAATAGAGAAACAGTTGGCCGCTATGTACCATGCCTTGCTGGCTTTGGAGCTCATCACCAGAACAGCCCTGATACAGGGTAGAACCAGCTAACCAATCATGGGGTTGGTATTAGACTGGACCCAAAAGCTGTGGCATGGCACAGACATATACACTGACCAAGTGGCACTCATACCTACAGAAGCATAGCACCCTCTCTGCCAGCCCCTTCAGTGGAGAACTACAATGCTTATTGGGGCCAGTGACATATACCAGTGAAATGCATGAAGAATTTGTTTTAGAGCCATTAGTAACACAGAGCCCTACTGGGAGGGAAGAGCCCTTATACCCAAAGATGCATGGCACCCATATGGCTCTAGTCATAGGCAGCCTCTGAAATGGAGGACTGTAGCTTTCCATCCTAAGACTGAGACAATATGGATGAAAGATGGTGAGGGGAAGAGTAACCAATGGGCAGAGTTGTGGGCAGTGTGGCTTGTGATCACCCAGGGGCACTCCCCACTAGTTGTCTGCACTGACAGTTGGGCAGTCTACCGAGGCTTGACTCTGTGGTTACTGACACGGTATCAGGCCAATTGACTGGTTGGTCACCAACACCTTTGGGGGCAAGAGTTGTGGCAAGATTTATGGGCCTCTGGTCAGACTAAAACAGTTAAAGTACAGACCATTTGTTTGTTGGCATCCCCAGGAAATGATGAAGCAGATGAAGACAATATGGGCTGCAGCGCATCAGTGGGTCCTGCCTTTGACCTTTGAAGAAGTCAGCAGAGCCTGGCAGGAATGCAGTGTATGTTCTAAGAGGTACTTACCTTGAGTCCCACAGCAACATGGGACAATAGCTAAGGGGCTGATACCACTCATCAGGCAGCAGATATACGATATTTGGCCTCTGCCCATGTCAGA